TTGGTTTTAATTAATTTATTTACCCATGTAAATTCATTAATTTCGATTCATCGATGTTTTTAATACTATTGAATGTTATTAATAGCCTATTTATTTATTTCTGGTTCGTTCGTTCACCCTACCTTATTTCAATAAATTGCTCTCATTGCGTTCATTAGCATAAATCAGGGGTGTGAAACTTTTCCAAATGGCGGGCCACTTTTACCATGCAAGACAGCGACGAGGACCAGCCAGGCATCTTCGACAAAAATATTTCATAATAAACTTATACATGATTACATGATGTAACTCAAAGCTGACTTGTCTGATGTTCATCTGTCAGCTGACTTCCGATCTATTTTTTATGAATTTCCTTATGGAAAAATCTGTTCACAGCAGAATGGGCTTCCAAAATGTGATCTCATTATTTGAAGGTTTGGTTTAGATTCGGAAATTTTTTTTCCTTTGACAGTTTTTAAAAATTTTGAAATTCATCTCCGAGGGCCACTTGAAACGGCTTGGCGAGCCAGGCTGTGACCCGCGGTCTGCCAGTTGCATACTCCTCCCGGCATTGATAAATGAAACATTTGATATCTTTCAGCAATTCCTCATTAATTTATTACGATTATAAACATTTCTCTTAGTGGCAGAACATGTTTCATTATCTTTCGTGCAAGTGTAATTACTTTTATAAATATTTTTGGCAACATTATTCGCTGCTTAAAACATTTTTTTTGGCTTTTTGTTTTGTCATATTTATTAATAAACTTAAAATAATAAGAAATAAAATGATTAAGAACACGAAAAGAATGGAACTCTTTCTCAAATAACTTATTGGAAATTGAACATTTAAAAAACTAACTTGTCTCGTGTTACTGGAACGACGTCGTCACTGACCTGAGGTAATTTTTCTCTGAATTATTCACAACGGGGTGTTTTCACATTAATTAGATTTCATATTCATGGTGTTTTCAAATACATTCATTGCAGACAAATATTACAAGCTGAATTTTTGTTTTTCATCTTGATAAACATTCATATATAAGTAACAAGCCACTTGAACAAATGTTGAAATTAATTGTCAAAAGCATTTGAAAAAAAGTTAAGTATAAATTGCTTGAAAATTGTCGTAAATAAGTCAGTTAATTATTTGGCAATGAAACGTTCTGCTATAAATAAAAGAATATAAATAGAAAACAAATAAGAATGACATCTGATCTGACTTTCTTTTGTTTCATCCATCCATCCATCCATCCATCCATTCATCCATCCATCCATCCATCCATCAATCCATCCATCCATCCATTTATCCATCCATTCATCCATTCATCCATCCACCCATCCATCCATCCATCCACCCATCCAACCATCCATCCTCTATACAAACATTGAAACAGATGCCACAAACAACACAATGCAAGCACAACAACAGCAACAACATCAGCATCATTTCAAAATAATTCATCAACACGTCACCGCATCACATTCAGTTACGACGACGATGACGACACGCAAATAAAAATAACGTAATAAACAAAATTAATAGTAATAACGATGTTAAGTTGCGTTGGTGAAAGTTCAAGTTACAGCCCGCTTTTGGGTTTTTTTAATTTTTGTTAATTCATTGGACGTACGTACTGTTTAATGCTATGGAATGCAATGTAATGTGATGTAATATGATGTCATATGATGTCATATGATATAATGTATCGAGATTTAATGTTAAATGATGTGATATAACATGATGTAAAACAAAGCAATGTGATGCTTCGTGAAGTAAGTGATGTAGCGTCAGTGATGTGATGATGTGATATAATATGATGTAACATGACGTAACGTGATATAATATAATGTAATATGATGTACTTTAGCTAAGAGTCCAATAGATATAAATATGATCATGTTTCTTTGCCAAGCTAGGTTTAATTACTTTGTCCTATCAAAATCTCGAATTTAATATATTATTAAAATAATATTATTATTTTGCGTAATTATTATAATATTGTGTAAATATTTATGAATAATTCGAAATATTTAACTCTATCATCTTATAAGTCCGTGAAAGCCATTTATATCTATCGAATGTTGGCGTGTCAACGGCTGGTATGAAATGTATGTGTTGTGTGTGTGCATGTGTGTGTGTATGTGTGTGTGTTTGTGCGTTTGTGTATCGTCGCACATTCTTTATTTCCTTCATTCACCGTAGTTTAGTCGATCTCATTATGAACATCATTACCTACATTAATGATAATATCCACTTCGCTAGACATCATCAATGTTTACATCTTTTGTATTCATTATTTTTCTTTATTATCACTACATCATCGTTAACCATCCCTAACCACTTCCGTTTCCATCATCCCCATTCCATCTTTCCATTTTTCTTCATTTTCATTATCAACAGTGCCAGAAATTTTTTGGAATTTGCTTAGAAAAAGTGACGATCACTTTTCTTTCTAGAAACTTAGGACTATATTTTTCACCTATTTTACAACATTTTACTTGATTTTATTGAAATATTTTTCAGCCCAAGTTTTTACAAAGATTTCATTCACTTAAGCCATAATCCTAGCAACACTTTTTAGTGTGGAGGGAGAGCTTCAACTCCATGGCCTCCCTCTTAGGCCTCTGATAATCACTACCATTATCATCATTATCCTCACTATCATCATTATCATTCTTATTATCATTATCGTCATATCATTATTATATTTGCCATTATTTTGATTATTATCAGTAAAAGACCTTCATCATGAGGTACCTTAAATACTACTCTCTTATTAATAACGTAATAAAAACACTCTTTAAATATATCTGCCATTCGTTCAATCTTGTTTATTTTTTTTCTCAATTAAACCCATAACTGACTTGTTAAGTCATTAATTAGTCAATTAATTAACTAATTAATTAATTAAATTATTCATTAATTGATTAATTAATTTGTTTTTATAAATCGTTATTTGATTTTCCATGGTTATCATGCTTAAACATTCTTACTCCGTTATTTATTTTCCCCTATAAGCCCATTATTTTTATGTTATTGCCTCGCATGCTGTAACAGTTTCTGCGTCTGTCAGCTTCTGATTTTTTGAAGTATAATAAAAAATTATTATTATTGTTGTTGCTGTTGAGTTTGTTGTTGCCGTCATCATCATCACCACCATCACTATTACCACCACCACCATCCTCCTCCTCCTCCTCCTCCTCCTCATCATCATCATCATCATCATCACCGTCACCACCATCATCATCATCATCTCATGATCCTCATCATCTCTCTACTTCAAACTCTTAGCATATCATTTAGAATCAAAATGAAAATATCTACCCGCTCGCTGACAGAGTTATATTTTTAGCACATTAATAACGTGTCTGCCTGATGAATTTATGGTGCATATCTGCAAATATGAATGTAAGTATGTTTGTAAATTGTATGTACGTGCGTAAGTGTTCGTTATTTTATGTGGAGAAGCATCGCTCTTAATCTTATCAATAAGATCATTTCATTTTCATATCTTTTTCATTGTTGAAATTATTCTTCATCATCATTTGTCGTTACGATCGTTGTTACCAACATTATATTCTTTATCATCCGCGTGATATGATTTGATCAGGCATTATATCATCATTGTTCTTTCTACATCATCATCGTCATCATCCTCATCATTTTCACTTATCATATCATCATATCATCAATCTTATCATCACTTTATCTCCAAACATCGTCATTTTTTAAGAGGCACGGTCAATTAAATTACGTTAACCTATTATGTGTTCGGATAACACGCAGACGTACACACACAGAAACACATAAACATTCACCCACACATACACACACACTCACAAACACTCACACACATACGTACTAACACACACACACACACACACAAACAATACACATATACACATGTTACACTCATATTACTTGATGCATTGTTGTTTTTTCGGGCCTCTCCGAATCTTGACCCTTTGTCAGGTTGGGAATCTATTAATCTATACTAGCTCACTATTATTATTATTTTTATTATTAATATTACTACTACTACTACTACTACTACTACTACTACTACTACTACTACTACTACTACTACTACTACTACTACTACTACTACTACTACTACAATTACTACTACTTCTAATACAACTACTTCTTCTATACTACTACTACTACTACAATAAAAAATTCATTCATCTTTGTTGTGATATGATGTGATTGTATGTTGTTGTTGTATGTTGATGTACGTTGTTGTTGTCATTATTTTTTTATATCATTAAAATTAAATTAATGTTGTTGCTTCTAATTGTTTTCTAACTGCCCTAGGACAGTTAAATCCAAAAAATTTGTTTGAAAATTATTACTACGGTGTTCTTATGCGAAAACTTAAGGAGCAAACATCAACTAATTTGTTTCACGGTTCGTGACGTGCCCTCGGTTGCTGAGTTATCGCCGTTCATCATTGTTAGTGGGGATTAACTTCAATTTCATTGCATCTAATTGCTTGGAGGTGTTTTTTTCGTTGCAGGAAATTAACTGTCTGTGGAAACAATCACGGCGCCGAAACAATATAAGTAGAAGGCATAATATTTTCTTAAGCGTTGCTTCATATCAGTTTTGTTTGTGTGCGTGTGCGGTTGTGTGTGTCTGCTTATAAGTGTGTGTCTGCTTATAAGTGTGTGTCTGCTTATAAGTGTGTGTCTGCTTATAGTTGTGTGTGTTTGTGTGTTTGTTTGTGTGTGTTTGTGTGTTTGTTTGTGTGTGCGTGTGTGTTCGTGTTAGTTCGTTTATCATTTTTTTGCGTCTTGCTAGTCGGATGCAACTGATTCAATATCTCTGAAACAGTTGTCAGTGTTTTACGTGGAGTTATATATTCTTGGTGATTATTAGCTTTTTTGGTTGAAGCAAGTTTTGACACTTCATTTTACTAATCATCCACACATCATTCGTTCACATTTTAATACACGCGCACACGTTTTAAACGTGCATGGAGAATAAGAGTCTCTGAGTTCCGATCAGATAGTATATGAACCTGGGCATCGAGCAACAAAGAATATCACGAGACATGGTGCTGCAACCATTTCAGTTAATTTGACGACCAACTAAATTAAAATAGCAGTTTGACTCAAGTTATTTTTAAGTTTATCACAAAGTTCAAAAGGTTTCAAATTGCTCTTTTTTTGCGTTTGCGACGAATGACATCCTTATCAACGCTGATGAGACTGTCATCACCATGCTCATCGCGAGCGTCACCATTGTTATATTTTTTATCAAACGATAAATATAAGGATTTTTTGGCAAATTCTGTTAACAAGGGCAGGACGCCACGTGCAAATGAATGCCACATTTTAAGACATCGCGGTATTAATTAAGAAAATGTCAGCTCATTAAATCATCTTTAATTATTGTTGTCATCCATTTGTTATTTAGGAGCATCGTAAATTCTAAACTGCGCGTGCCAGAGTTTATGGGTTACCTATGAAAGATTGGAGGGTAGAAAAACATGGCATGACAGGTCAAACCCTCTTAAATCACTTCATTTTGAATTTATTAAATTCTACTTTCTACATAGCCACTCTTACAGATGATTTTTCCGCTTTTTAAACAGGCCCAGCTAGCAATAGTGTTTCTTATTGCAGTAAGCATTAACGTGTTTTTTGTATTTCAATTGTGTGCGGCTATTAATAAAAATGTCAAAAAAAGGTTGATGTTAAAAATTACAGCTTTTATACACCAATTATTTTCACCCTTTGCAAAAAATGACCACAAAACCTGATTGATAATAAAGTGTGTTTCGGTAAGTTTACTGTTACATGTCATGTCAATTACAATTACCGGCTTCGAAAGTTCCACGTGTTGAGTACAATTACTAGCTTTGAAAGTTCCACACGTTGCAAGATGAAAAATGTAACTCTTACAGAAGTCACATTTCTATTGAATTGCGTCCAAAATGTGGCTTTCCTAAATGCCCATCCTTACCACGACACGCATGAAAGCACACGTGATCAACTTGGATTTTTATCAAGTAACTCAGTTCAATTCATCCTCGCTTGCCCTCTCGAGCACTTTGGAACAGTTGACTGGTCCCGTTGAATTTTGCACACAGCCGCGCGCATGTTGCCAGTAACCAGTTTAACAATTACATAAAATTAAAGTTTCAATGAAGCAAATTGTATGTAGGAAAAAATAATTTTTCCAATACAAATAAAAATCCAAAATTTTTAAAAATCCTGACTGACCACATTTTTAACATTAACATTTGTTTTTTTATTTATATGCATACAAAAAACTCAGTTAAAACAAGTGAACATTTGTAAATTTAAATTGTTAAAGGTTAGTACTTGGATTTGTGCTTTCTAAAAACGACAAAGTTTTTTCGGTGAGGGTACGTAAGACGTGTGATAAGATCAATTGAGTTGTGTGCACGTGTGCATGTTTGTGTAATTGTTTTCACATTCAATTATCATGTTTCTATATAATTCCTATATAAAAACGACATTTACCTTTAGCAACATCAAAAACAGTTGACCCACGACAATGGTGAAATGATCAAGTATTTGATTGTTTTGCCATTAAATTATTGCATTAACATCAACTTTGTTCTGTCGATTAATTAATTTATATTTATGGAACATGATTAATTAATGCAATTACATTTAAGATGAGATGGTGTTGGTTGATAAATGTGAATGCTTAACTAGGCTGGCTCAGTCTGAGAATGTAAAAATGAAATAAGATCATTAAGATAATTAGAAGAGAGAACAATTAAATATAATTGTTGGCATCGTTTGTGTTTGTAACATTAATCATAAAATAATTATTAATAATTGTAATAAAAATCAAGATAATATATGCAATATTAAAATGTTGTGTTAATACACCAGCTTATTTCTTATAGATTTTACCTTAGTAATATGACTTTTAACTTTCGTGTTTTTGCATTTAGCTAATTTTATTGTTGCTTTCGATGTCGCTAATTTTAATAATAACGTTTTTATTTCAAAACTTTGGAAAATAAAGACAACTGCCTGCGAGCTAGTGTTGTTCGTTTGTTGGAGCAGTCAATCAACCAACAAATTTCAAAACATGATAATGAGTCCGTCAAATATGTATGTGTATTTTTTTTTACATTTTTTCTCTTAGAAGCGAGGCACTCTGGATCGTAAAATAAATTTGTTTCTGTAATTAAAGCTTCTGAGCTGACTTTAAAAAAGTAATTATATTACAAGAACTACCAACAAACATTAACACACACGTCTAACACAAACCAAAAATAATCTTTGAACGCGTAACTTATTTTAACTATTTGTTAATATATTTTGTAGTTAACTGTCCCGTAGCTAATAACTCATTCCATGATTAAACAATTGATGTCTTTCACAACTGGAATGCTAAATTGTACACGTGTTTCCATTAGAAATGACAGCAATTTGATAACAACAACCAACATTACGTGGTCGGTCGTTAGGTCACTTCTGCTGAACAAAGTTGCCAAATGGATTCCTACATTTCAAGATAATTATTATTTTACTAGACATTTTAACTGATAACAAACGTCAACATCATCTATTATTTTCTATAACAATAATAATAACAGTAAACAAAAACGAAACCTGATTGATTGAAGATTGTTCAAAGAGAAAGTGATTGAAAAAGTAAAATCAGACAGACGTTTATTTTACGACATAAGTGTTATAGTTGTCTGTTATTGTAATGAAATCTCGAAGCATATTTGTAAACAATGCAGTAAAGAAGCTAGCCAAGCTGAGCCAACCCGATATATAAAGTTGTTAATGGATCTGTGCGTTATTTAGTTATTTACACTGCTTAATTTATATTGTTCACCATCATCGTAGAGACATTTGAATGCGGATTTGTGATATTTTGATTGTCATCGCGGGTAGGCAGCGGAGCGTAATTAGAAACAGGCATCACTTTAATATGAATATCTCTATGTCTCGTTCAGTTTGTTTTTCTTAAAATATCATGTTAGTATAAAAATATTTTATGCAGTAAAGTGGAGTGGCATGGGACATAAGTAGTTGAGTTGATGAATTGGTTGAGTGTTTCTTTAATAGGTGCCCTAGCATTTTTCAATAAATCATCTTTACAGACAGCATAACTGCAGTTGTTGCTTTTGATTGTTTTGAAAATGTGATGTTGCTTATTTTATGTTCTGTTGTAATATTTTATTACGAGACAGACTGACATCGCATCCCATTGTTTTGCGAACTTGTGAATGGTCCACTTCATAAGTTGTTCATTTGACTGGTTTAAACGATACATTCAAATTTAAAAAAATGAACAATACTGAACAATCAATTATGCATCAAACTCTCTTTTCACGACAACAACGACACTAATCCAACGAACCAAACAGGAACATCGCACTTTACAACTTTTCCTCATCGGCGGGTGTTGTCACAAGCCCTTCAGCGAACCATCGCCAGTTCGGCACAAACACGAATGACCCAACATCGCTGTACAAACAGATCGCATGCGAGAAGTTTCAAGGCTTCTCCTCTCAACAGCGCCGCATGTGCTTCATCTACTTGGACCACATGCCAGCCCTAGCCAGGGGAGCATACCTCGCCCTGCAGGAGTGCCAGCATCAGTTCAGGGACCACAGGTGGAATTGCACCGTAGCCAACTCCAGCCACATATACAGCCATTTTGCTAACTTAGGTTTTTTATTTTTTCATAAATTTCTGGAATTATAATCACTATCAATTCACAAACACTTTTGTATTAAACCTAAAAAATCAAATTCTTAACCTGTTAACAACACCAAACATACGTCAGGCACGCCAGAGATCGGCTTCGTGCACTCCATCATGTCTGCCTTCATCGCCTCATCACTTGCCAGGGCTTGTAAGGACGGTTAGTCGTCCGCTTATTTCTTGTAATTCAAACAAAAGTTAAATTTTAGTCACAAAAAACATTGCAAATGTACGCGAACATAAAATGGTCCAAAAAATGTTTGCGCTGCAGGTGAGTTGACGACGTGTGGCTGCAGCAGGAAGGACAGACCGAGGTCGTTGCCACAGGATTGGTTGTGGGAGGGGTGCGGTGATGACGTCAATTACGGAAGGCTCTTCACTGAAAAGTTTGTCAAAGCACATTACGACACAAACCCTTCAAAATCAACCAGAGAGTACTTGAGTCAGATCACTGAGAGGCACAATGGCGAAGTTGGAAGCAGGGTTCGTACAAACTTTTTTTGTCTACGTATATACTATATAATGATAAATATAATGTAAGTATATACGGGTAAATATACTTACATATATATTTGTTCATATACAGTTGAAAGTTTCGTTTTAAAAACTTGGTTAATTTTTCAAAACACAAAATATTGTTAGTTGCTGAAGATGTCTTATGTTGAATGACGATTTAATTAAGATTAATTTGCAATGAACAGACAGCTGTCATGTATGCCAGGCCTGTTTGCAAGTGTCATGGCGTGTCTGGCTCCTGCAATGTGAAGACCTGCTGGGAGGAAGTTGCTCCCATCAGAGAGCTGGGCGATCATCTGAAAGCCAAGTACGATGAAGCCATTCCTGTGAGACCCAGCAAGAAAATGAACATCATACGCAGGAAGAATAAAAGTTCGAAAAAATTAACGAAATCTGACATCGCCTACTTCAACCAGCCTCTGGACTACTGCGAGTTGAACTTGAAGAAGGGATCGTTCGGAACCAAAGGTCGTTTCTGTAATAAGACGAGTTCTGGGACTGACGGATGCAGTCACATGTGTTGTGGCAGGGGCTTCTATTCTAAAAAGATAACAGTGCACGAGCAATGTCACTGCAAGTTTCGCTGGTGCTGTGAGGTCAAGTGCAAAGTTTGTGAAAAAATTGTCGATATACACTGGTGCAAATAAACATTTTAGTTTAATTTTTTCATGGTGAAGTACATTCAAAAAGATGGCCACCAAACAACATTAATTGCACAATTAATTTAATTTTTCATCTGAAAAAACTTATTGTTTTTTTTTCACATCATGCTAATAATTATTAGTTTGCATTAATTCATCCGGCGTTTCAATTGCAACCAGTTTAACATTATGTAAGTTTATCACAAAAATTTATAACAAAAACATTTGCTGAACTCTCACTTGAGTTGGTTGGTTGTCATTTGATGTCTGGTGCGTTCGTGCTTTTTAAACATCTTTCAAAGGTCTCTTTACTAACAACATATTTTCATAATAATAATAATAAAAATAATAAATGGATGGACAGATAAATGGATGGGTGAATGAACGGATGGACAGATGAATAGAATCTGAATGTGGTAATATTAAATGTCTCGAGAATCAACTATTTTGTTTTTATTATTGAAACTGACATTGTTATTATTATTATTATTATTATTATTATTATTATTATTATGGTTATTATTATCATTTTGCATTTTATTTCGGTAATTTCACTATTATCATTAGTATTGCCGTTTTTAATAATTATTAAAATATAAATGTTAATTATTTATATGATTTATTATTATTTTTAATATTATTATTTATAAAAAAATTTAAAATCTGACAAAAATTATCTAGTCTTAAATCTGGCAACCACACAAAGAAGGCATTGTTTCATAAAAAAAAATAATATCATAATACGAACGCGCTCCTAACAAAATAGCTTTGTATATTAACGTAATGTAATGTAATTTTGTGCTATGTAATTTTTTCTAAAGTGATATGATGTTATTTAATGTAATGCAATGTAACATACGTATGCATTGCAATGTTGAGTAATGTAATGTAATGTGATGTTTAATGTTGAGTAGTATAATGTAATATGATGTGATGTTATAATATAGAGGTGTTCTGTGATGTAAAGAGGTAAAATCCAGCATATTTAATGTACGTAATGATGTTTTATCTAAAGTGTTAATGTAATGTGTGTAGTGTATTGCTGTTTAGTGTTGTTTAATGTAACGAAAATGTAATCTATTGCAATGTAATCTTGACCAAGTTATCATTTGAAGGCACTTAACATGTTAAACTGCTGCTTGCTGCTATTCAAACTTTCTCCAACGACAATCACACTCAATCAAATTGATTTGATGTTCATATTGCTTGCTTACCATACAAAATTTAATTGCTATATTAATAAAAACGTCAAAAAATACAATTATGTACATAATTAAATAAATTATTTAAATAAATAATTTTTGTGTAATATAAACATTAAACACAGATGTTTCAGCAAACAAATATTATTTTTATTGATTTAGGCAGTTACAGATCAACACAACTGGTGACATATTCTTATCATGGCAAAAATTATAAAATCGTTTTTGTATCATTGTATAAAAATAAACGTTTTGATTAATATTTTCCCCAGAAGGTAGAAATAAAAACAAAAAAATTTTCTCGCATCAACACATATACCTATCATTACATCACACAACTCTCATCATTACGTAACTCATCAACGCTAAAGAAACTGTTATCTGCTACTGCGCTGTGTTGATCGCTTTCAACGTGTGGCTGCTACAGAATCGTCATATTCTTTACTTCCGATTTTGTCATAATAAAATCTTTTTTGTTTTTTGAGAAATATTTAGCAATTGTTTTTATTTTTGGAATAAAATAATTAGTGACACGTTCGTCGTTTCAAACATTTTTACAGCCTCGTTGAAGCGAATATTTTATTTTTCAATTCATGTTAATTAGCAAGTCTTAATTAAATTAATTTCATCAAACTTTCATGAGTGTGTGATGCTCTTTAAAATATAAAATTTATGCTCTTGACCACATTATATGTTACAACAGCCATAACGACGTAAACAACAACAACCTCAACATCATCATCAACAACAACATGAACAACAACCTCATCATCATCATCATCAACAACAACAACAACATAAACAACAACCTCATCATCAACAACAACATAAACAACAACCTCATCATCATCATCATCATCATCAACAACAACATAAACAACAACATTGTTCATTTTATCGACCATAAAAACATTATAAACCTATTCACTAATAATATATTATTGTATATATTCAATTAATCAATAACTTTCTCCCATTTTATATTCGTCGTCTGGCATTTAAAGAAAGACGTTGATGTTATCAGATTGAAATGTTTATATCCGAAATTGTTGATTTAATAAAATATTTTACAGTTTTCGCAATTAAAAATGCCAATTTTTGCTTTATTTCACTCACTCTCGCGTACCTACATTGTGTGTTAGCAGGTTGTCGAGGTAAGCTGATGCTGTCGATGTTGCAATATTTTTCTGTTTATGTTGTTGCTTATGTTGTTGTTTGTTTATGGTGTTTGTTTATGTTGTAGTTTACGTTGATGTTGTTGTCGTCTATGTTGTTGTTGTTTATGTTGTTGTTTATGTTGTTGTTGTTTATGTTGATGTTGTTTTTTTTTTGTTGTTCATGTTCTTATTTATGTTGTTGTTTTTTGTTTAAGTTGACGTTTATGATGAATTTTCCTATGTTAAAATGAATAAATTTTTATACCAAGATAGATCAGAATTATTGAAATCTATTACCGAACTTAATCCGCGACATGGCGACCACACATTCTGGTAGACTCGTCGCGGATTAAATAAAAAAATAGATTTCGATAGTTTTTTCTCAGTTTGAAATAAATTGTTCACATTGTTTAATTAATTTATCATTTACTAAAGTTATCTTTGCGTTTTACGCATTTGCAGCTTCTCTCCAAATAATTTCAACAGCCAACAAGACATAAATAACAAAGATGATATTTTTAATTCTCTGTCGCATAAATCAACTAACTTTTAGACGGAGGCATGTTTACGACTATGGATGAATGTTGAACATTCATAACAAACAAACAAACAAACAAACAAACAAACCAACCAACCAACTAACATCATTTGTCTACTTAATTGGGTTTCTTCGCTTTATAGCAAGTCAGGAGAAGTGTCAATTTTTCACTCATAAATTTTCAATATAGTTTTTAAAAAAATTTCAACAAAAGAGATATGATGAAACCGTTGATGATATAATAGAAAAAGTTGAAAAGTATGCCGTGGAACGTGAGATGATGAGGTACATTGATTCGTCAAATTAACGAATTTAAATAAGCAGTAACAATACAGTTCATATTTCATCCCTAACTGATTTTCTGATGTTATTGATGTAGTTGATATGCTACAGGATGAAATGTCAGCCAAATTGGACTGTTATATTCAAACATCAACTCAAGCAACCAGAGATAATTTGATTTCTTATCACCATGATGGTCTTTCATCATCAATTAATCTTAACATCATTGCTGTTTTTATGTCTGTTAACAGAGGGATATATTTTTGTGCTTCTTTAAGTTTCAACCTAGAATTGCTTGCTTCCTCATGTACTATAAAGCTGATAACAATAATGTTGATGTTTGTATGTAGGATGATTGCTAAGAAATGTTTTAAACACCAAGTCCAACAATTCTCTAAATATAATTAACTGCTTTGTCGTCATTACTTAAAATATTCAAACACGAGTACAAATATTTTTAAAGTTAAGCTTAGATGGTGTGGAACATTCGTGCTTGAAAATAAAATTTGTTTTTATTTTTCACATTGTGAATCAATTAGCAAATTGGATAATACGCAAAAAATTTATTTAAACAGTCTTTTAAAAATATCAGTTTTAAAGTTTTATTCTGAATTTGCAACATTAATCAAATTTTAAAGTTCATTACTTTAAATTGTATGACGGACGAACAAATAGACTTAACAATAAGTCTCAACAATAACAGTCAAACGTTAACTAATTCAACATAAAAATTCAACTTATGAAGTTCAAAGTTTTCCTAAATCTGGAGAGTTGTTAAATTAAAAATAGTGACGTGATGGAAATTTTTAAAATTTGTGACAATTTTGTTTAAATACAAATCAAGGTTTTTATTTTGCTTGAAGGTAATTTTTTACATTTCCAGAAAAACTAAAAAATTTGACGACTTTTGAAAAACGCACAAATGGAAAAATCGTAGCAAACGATCAAAAAAAGTTTCATGTTATGTTTTTAAAGCGATCACCAGTCGAGTAATTTAAAATTTATAAAACTGGTGTAATGCAAAAAAATTTGTTAATCACGATCGAAATGTTCGAAATGAACAGTCAGTTTAAAGTTTTAAACAGTTTGAAATAATAATTTATGGAAGAAGTGTTTTAATACAATGCAACATGTTAAAATGTTGATTTTGATTTTGATATCTTTTGCCCATTCTTTGACATGTTCATGTGAATCTAACGTTTTACAAATGCTTAATTCTTAATATTCATTCTTCGGGCAGGTGAAGCTCGTTAGCTTGGTCGGCTATTTACCTAGGAGAAGGAAAACTCTGACTTCAAACCTCCGCTGCCTTGCGGCATACCTGTTCATGGGTAAGGCTATGGGAGCAAATCCAGACAGAAAACCACACTCCACTACCTGAGTTGCGGTCCAGTAATATCAGGTGCCGGTCCAAAGTCCGGATAGAAAGGAATGGTTGACAGGAGCTTGCTACACTGTCGTAAAAACGCTAATAACATGATGGTAGTCCAAAAAAAGTATGCACATACCGGCTCAGACGTCGCCCGGGTGAACAAGGTCCGCGCTGCAGCTTTGGGGACTAGAGGTTGCAGTGTAAAGTATGCTACTAAGTCCCAGAAAGATAGACTGAAGATGGGGTTGACAGTTGGAGTTTGGAATGTCAGGTCATTGTGGCAGACAGGGGCTTACGCGTTGATGAAGAAAGAACTTGAACGATTCAGATATGATGTGGTTGGTCTGTGCGAGGTCCGATAGACAGGAGGTGGAAAAATGGAAGGTGGGAAGATATTATGGTCTGGAACAGAGAGGGAGCACGTCTATGGAGTTGGAATGGTTATTGGCGAAAAAGCAAAAAAAGCACTGTTGGAGTACAATCCAGTGAATGAAAGAATGATGTATGCGAGGTTTAAGGGATACCCGAGAGACATTGATGTGGTAGTGGCCTATGCTCCAACAATGGATCACTCGGATGCAGAAATCGAGGCATTCTACGATCAACTGGAGCAAATATTGAATGTACTGCCAAAAAAAGATGTTAAGATAATCACCGGAGATTGGAACGCAAAGATCGGAAGAGAAAATATTGGTTTTGAAGAAGTCATGGGAAAATACGGTATAGGAAACAGAAATAATAGAGGAGAAAGACTGCTGGAATTTGCAAAGGACCAAAAAATGTATATAACAAATACAAAAACACAAAATACAAAAAAATGGACGTGGGAATCACCAGATGGAAAAACAACGAACATGATAGATTTGATTTTGATAAAACAGAAATGGATGAAATTTGTTACTCAGTGCCGTGCTTTTCCAAGTGCAGAGATTGGATCAGATCATCGTCTAGTGTTATGCAACGTCAAGATGAAAATAACGAAGAGACTAAAGTCAGGCGAAAATATCAAAAGAGTGAAATATAGCACAGAAATGATAAAAGAGAAGTTGAAAGACATCAAAAATGTAATAGAAAACAAATTGGATACAAAAACAAAGTACGATATTAAAACAAGAGTCAGTAACTTGGAGAGAGTGCTTAAGACTGCGGCCGATAAATGCGAAGTAGGGAAAAACGTAATAAAACCCTGGATAAGTGATGAAACTTGGAAACTCGTAGAGGAAAGAAGACAGTTGAAAGCAACAAAAAGACAAAACAACGAAAATGAGATGAAATATAAACAACTGTGTTGCAAAATAAAGAAAAGTGCCAGAGCAGATAAAAGAAGATGGATAAACGATATATGCGAAAGGGTAGAAGCACTAGTTGGACAAAACAAAACAAGAGAGGCGTATCAGCTAGTCAGACAGTTAAAAGGAAAACTGAAGAATACGTCAAGGATTATTAAAGACAAGGATGGAAATGTTCTAACTGAAGGCCAACAAATCAAAGATAGATGGTCGGAATATATCAAGGACCTGTTCACAGATAAAAACACGTATACAAAGGAGGTGTTACAGGCTTTAAAAGAAAGAAAAGTAGTCAATGAGGAAGAAACGGAAATAACATTGGAGGAAGTAATAAAAGCAATGAAGAAAATGAGGAACAACAAGAGCACAGGGAGAGACCGAATTCCCATAGAGCTGATCAAAGCGGGAGGACCAATTGTATGTAATGAGATTCACAAAATCTGCCAAGAAATCTGGGACAGTGGAAAATGACCAGAAGATTGGTGTAAATCAATCTTGATCATGTTGCTAAAAAAAGGAGACCTGAAAGACTGCAACAACTACAAATCAATAGCACTGATCCCTCATATGTGCAAGATCATGCTGACGATCTTGAAAGAACGATTGGAGAAAGACATAGAGCAGCATTTAGAAGAGGAGCAGGCAGGTTTCAGAAAGGACAGAAGTACAGTCCAGCAAATCCTGATGTTGAGACTATTGTTGGAAGATGCAGGAAGCAGAGGTCAAACAACTTTTCATTGTTTTGTGGATTTTAAGAAGGCGTTTGATTCAGTCTGGCACGAAGGTTTGTGGGCAGCTTTGGAAAGTATGGGAGTGTCAACAAAAATGGTAAGGGTGCTGAAAGGGTTTTATGAGGAGTCAACAATGGCGGTAAAGGTAGGTACAGAGCTGGGAGACTGGATCAAAGCGAGCATAGGAAGTAGACAAGGAGATCCAATATCACCATTACTGTTCTTAGCACTGTTGGAAAGAGCCTTGGAAATAATGGAAAATGCAGATATTGAGGGAATCGACATTGAAGGCAGAGTGATAAGGAACCTCAGGTTTGCAGATGATATAGATCTGCTAGCATCTAGTGCAGAGGGTCTACAGAAACTGATCGAGTTGACGTACGATGGTGGAAGAAACCATGGACTACACATCAACAGCAGTAAGACAAAGATAATGATTTCGGAAGCAGGTGGAAACAATGATAAATTCCAGATAGGAGCAGAAAAGCTCGAACAAGTGAACCAATTTATATATCTGGGCAGCCTCATAACTGATGACAATAATTGTTTGAAAGAAATTGATAGAAGAATAGCAATCGCGAGAGGAATGTTTGCATCTTTGAAAGTAATATTGAAGAACGGTAATGTATCTACAAAAACAAAGGTAAAGATCGTAGAAGCGTGTGTGTTTTCTACATTGATGTATGCATGTGAGGCTTGGACGTTGAAGAAAAGAGACAAAGACAAACTGGAAGCATTCGAGATACATTGTTATAGAAAGTTGCTGGGAATCAGTTGGAGACAAAAGATAAGAAACAATGCCATAAGAAAACAACTTGGAAGACAAAAAACTGTGTATGAAAGTGTCAAAGAAAGAAAGCTGGGTATCTTTGGGCACATCTGCAGAATGACAGACGACAGACTGATCAAAAAAGTACTAATGAGAAAGAGGGACTGGAAGAAAAAAGTTGGAAGACCTGTGAGGAAGTGGATGGATGATATCACGGAATGGACGGGGGTTGGAACATTGAGCTCAATGAAGATGGCGAGGGAAAGAAAAGGATTTTGGAGAGATAGAAGAATACCATCGGCCTCAACGGTCCCTTAAGGGATTACAGAGGATCATTCAATGAAATGAATGAATAATGTTCATGTACGTGTTCGCACAAACCGCATACTTTTTAATTTAAAATTGTAAATACGAATAATAAATAGAGCACATCACAGCTTCAACCACCTGATGCGGTTGCCATAGCAACGTCAATCGATCAGGAACTACAAAATATTTTTCTTGTTTTATTTAAAACTAGCTCATCAAAATGACATCAAAATCTGTTAAATCGAAATTAAGCTCAAATTTGGTATGGAAACTTTTTTAATTTTTCATCTAATTTCATTTATTTTTAATTTTAGGAGGCATTTTGACTTCTAACAGCTGAGTTTTTTAACGATTAGAAACTAATTAGATTACCGATTACCATTACATTACATTACAATTACAAATTACATGATTTATCAGATTAGTATTAATTAGTTTAACTTTAAAAGTTAAAACATCAATCAATGCTAAAGCTGAGCTAACAATGGATACGTTTAATGATTATTTTAAATTAGTTACCTACTTTACCTGCACCCGTGGCGGATCTACGGATCTAGTTGTGAGCGTTATTTGTACAATAAAAGTTAGCAAAAGTTCTTGTTTTAAAAACCGTTATAGTAAAATTTAACGAAAAATGTAGATTTTTGAAGGAAAATGGACATTATTGACCCCAAAAAAGATAAGTAAAATTTTGACCACAGAAGTTTTGGTGGCCTTCTCCGGTGAACATAGAAAAATTTCTTTAACAAATTTTAAAAAATTCCCCCTACCCCCCGGTGATTAATTTTTGTATGAAAACTCTCCCCATGGTCGTCGTCGACTTAATTTTGAGAAATTTGTAGAGATTCTAAATTCCCCAAGTCATCGACTTTTGGTTGAAAATTCCCTATGGTGGCCAAGTAATTTTTTAAAATTTAATATTTTTTGAAAATTTTTACACCGGTCCCCACTAAGTGCGCAATCGAAAAACCCTAATTTGAAATGAAATTTTAATGAGTTTTTAATGGTTGAGAAACTTAAACCTAATTTGAAGCTACATCAAATTTTGAGTTGGTAACATTATTTTAAGTTACTGTTTTGGCAAATTAAGTTAGGCAGAAAAAATTTCCTTCTCTCATTAACCCACCCTGATCCTCCTTCAATATACATTCCATCTCCATGGATATCCATGTACTTGTCCCTGACTTAGCTTTTGTCTGCCAATGGCAACATTCGAATGAAATTAAATTACACACAAAACAAATTGCTTAGGTATGACTCATCTTTATTCTTATTGTAATGCTCCAATAAAAAATTTAAATTCAGTAAATTATTTTATATGAAACTTTAATTTATTACATCGCATAATAAAAAACATAGATGTTGTTTCTCTAAAAATTAATGTTTTTTTATTGAATTTTGTTTGTATTCAACTTAAATTAATGGAGTTTGACGAATTTGCTGACAACAACACGACAGTTAAATAGGGACGTCTCACGCACTTCCTACCTGACAAACAGCAAGAAGCAGATGTTCATGCAGGAGAACATGTCGAAAGAAGTTGACTTCAGAACAAACAAATACCTGAAAAGTCAACAAAATGTGGAAAGTTGTTCCAAATCTCGTCAGTATGAAGTTTACAAAAATAAACTCGAAAAATCTCGAGTCAAATCTGACAACCACGAAATGTATGAAAAGCTTAAAACTTTGAAATTAGTTAGTTGTTGTTTCGAATATTTTATCTACACTGTGTACTTACTATCCTGTAAGGTTTACTTTAATAAATGATAATTCAACGACAGAATGATTACAGAATTCGCAAAGTAGACCCAGAAAAAAGAATTTTGGAACAATACGCAACTTCTTCACAACTTTTGACAAAAACGTCATCAGAAAACATGGACGATGAAAGTCTTTCCAACGCACCCCAACTCAACACGAACAACAGTGAATACGGCTGGTGGTTGAACATGAAAGAAAATGTTGCCAACAATGTAACTTCAAACTTTGGAAGGAAGAGCATCGTAAGGGAGACGTTTTATAGAAGGAATGACTCGGGCGGATGTATGGCGGTTTGAATAAATCAGATTGTACACAAACGAAGTAACAGCAATATTTATATTGTTGCGATATTTCTGTTCTGTTCCTATTTTTGTAGGTCAAATTAAGAATTAGATCAAAAACTTCAAGAATATTCTGTTTGATGCGCAGAAGAAATATCTAAATATATATTTGACTTGTTGGATTATCACTGTTCTAAAATATTTTGTAAAGATAAAAAGATTATTCGTAAAATTCGCAAAAATCACGTACTAAATAAAGTGCACACACACAGTGGCAGATCCAGAATTTTGCGGTGAAGGACGATTTCAAAATTGTAACATTGATGAACTTTTTCTTTTGCTAATTCCAATAAATATCTTCAATATTTTCTTCTTTCATAGTCTGGTGGGAGAATACACCACTGCACACACGCACATACAAACACACCGCCACCGATTCTCAAGTCAACTCACGAGAATCACTATTCTATTTAAATTTATAAGATATTGTAAATAATAGTTTTTATATTTTTTGTAAATAATTACGAAGCACAAACATATAAACTCCAAGTAGTTATTTGCAATGTTATTTTATAAAAAAAATGTTTGATGGTTTTCTTCTTTTGTTCCCCAGATGATGCACCTATTCATCTTTATGTTCATTCATTATTTGTCAATTTATTATTTGAAAATTCATTCTGTCGTTCATCATTTCTTTGTTCATATATTCGTACGGTTCTTCATTCAGACGAGACATGGTTCGTTCACTGGCGTACAAATGAGTAATTAAACACACAAGTGAATAAATTAGGTTTAACATTGAAGGTCATCCAACTGTTTCTTTTTTGTTAATTTGTTTCATTCACTAGCATGAAATGATTCGATGTCAAATTTGAATATACATAATATTCAAACCGTTTTTTGCTTGCTTGTTCAAAATAAAGTTAACACGGGAAAGAAGTTCACCTTTAGCTAGCAATCAAAACTAACCTTCTACGTACACCTTTCATATAGACTTTATAGCATAGCGACAAACCTGTGTACAATTTGAGCTTAACAATTCAGTTGACATGTGCTCTCTCTGTGTGTTTATGTGTGCCTCACTTTTAACCTGCACATTACAATGTAAATCAGACCGTTCTGATTTCTAATGTGTTGCTATGTTTGTTATATGAGCACATTTTGCGGTGTTGTTCAAATTCATTCAACTTCTAACATGATACGAGATAGCTTCTTTTCAATTAATTCAAACTGTGGTTGTAGTAACATAATTTTTAAACTAGCTTTTTATCAAATATCATTATTAATAATACACAATTCTGCAAGAAATGTTAAAACATATCAAGCTTTTAAACAAGCATTTTTCATTTTATAACTAATTAAATATTGTAAATGTATTTACATTTTCATTTTTACTAGTAAATTTTGTTTTAAATTAACTAATGAGATCGTAAGAAATAGTTTATTTTATAAGTTAATTGGTTGAACATATTCAAAGTTGTCCGGCAATTAAGCAAAACTGCGTCAAAAAGGTTTGATATCTTTATTCAATAAAGATAATAAAGTTTATTGGGTCGTTTTTGAAAAGTTATTTACAATAATAATAATGATAAATTAATAATAGCAACGGTGATAAAAATAATTTTAATAACTTTTTTGCTAAAATCTTCAATGATTATTGCTTTTTTCATAACTACGGCGATTTTACAATTTTTAAAGAGTGATGAAGAAATAAAATTCGAAATATTGAAAATGCAGATTTTAAGAACAAGCGTAAAGTTAGTTGATTGACTGAAGAGATATTGAAAATTTAAAAAGAAGCCATGCAGAAGCAGGCATGCTTCTATGCTAAACTACTTAAGGCGGTAACGGGCAAATCACTTTTAAGGAGGTTCAAGCCGACAGGATATGGGAAACATTTCTCATCTTTTCATAACATCTCAGAGGATCATTACACAAATGTTGGTTAATAATGTTTCAAATTTGTTTACCTTAACCATTTACTTTTGTGATAATTACAGTTTTCATTTTCATGTGCAAAGTAAACTTTTTTTTATTAAAATTTAACGCTAAATGAGAAGTTTGTACGCGTATATTATAACTTGTACAGGCATTTCTATCTCTTCAACTGACCAGAAATTTTGCTCAGTGTCAGATATAATTTAAATTGAATGATGGCAATTTATCTCAATAATGTCTAGAATAGTTTATTAACAAACGCGCCATCAAGGAATCATTTAATGAACAAACAGCTCAGCACTTATCTACCTGCACATCATCGTCCATCATCAACTTCATCAAATTTCACGCAAGTCCGCTGGCTACTCTTTTCTTTTTCTGTTCTCTTTCAAGTTGTCCACACCACTTTCAAATTATTTTCTTCACATTCATCAATAAATCTCAACAGTTTCCTAAATGCAAGCACTGATTACAAATTTCTCCACAAAAACAACATTGCAGTGTGTGTACTTTTCAAAACTACTCCATACTCCACATATTTAAGACTCCGTCACATCAAACGTTAAAAAATACAGCTCACATTACTTGTTCAAATCTTTTTTTTTATAAAATTTTTATTTCAATCAGTTAAAGGCGCTTAAAATTCTTACTAATGTGTAACATTTTTCATCGTCAACGTTGGTCCTGCTTCCAGTAAATAGAGTGTGCAACGGAGAGAATATGGTTAAGCAATTTCAGTTAAAACTCGATGGCTTTCGGTGAACATTTAAATAAGAATAATCTTATTATAACCCACATTGTAATGATTAAGATGTTATTTATTGAAGCCTTCCTTCATCTGTATTCAAAAATGTAATATATTGAATTTTTTCAAGTATTGACGGTTAAAACCAGCGCCGTCCTGCCATCTTTATACCTTTCATCTAAAGTCCTGAAAACCTAAAACAAATTAAAAGACAAATTGGAAAATTTTTTTGTTTTATAATGTTACATTACATGTCACTCGTGTTTCAGTCTAGTGACTGTTGCCAGTAACTATGACTATTATATAAAAATCTTGATGTCCCGAATGTAATTCCTATTGTAATACTCCAGATTTGTTTGATACAACCTTTGATACTTTGCGCGTGTGAACGTACGTACATTAATTGTTTTTGCAAATATAACTATAGTGACGCAATTTTACTGTTTGGTTACTCTTGTTAACACCATGTCTTCAACAATAATGATTTAATGGCTCATAAAAATTCATTATTGTGCTTTAATTTTTTATTTTTAAATTCATAAACATGTCAACTTCAGAAGATCATAGTTTAAAGTTGTTCGGATGATTTACAAACTGATTAGACATCAATTTTTTTTCAGGCGGTTCGTTGTCCAATTTTTAAACTTTCACAGTTTTCACAATGCAAGGTTTCTCACGTACAACAAAGGAAACTATCTGGTGGCGCCGAAAGTGGCCTGGCTCATGAATGTAGTCTCGTGACGCATTCTGTTCAAGAAGAATTAAATTTTACCGAACATCTTTACCACATTCTTAAGAATGATGATGGCAGTGTTCCGACATCTAAAATATTGAAAGTATAATTTTTATCATGTTTTAAATTTATGAATCTGAATGTACAAATTTTTAATAAAATTGTGGATAAATATTAGCTATATTGAATAATATTTAAAGATGAAAAATATTCATCAATTAGTTTAATTAGAATTTACGGTATTGTATGGGACAAAGTTTCTTTTTTTGATGATCTACTGGTAGACCATTTGTTAAGTTTAAACACATGCAGAATTTACATTCGTCCTTTTTTTACAATATGCTTGTGGTTAGTTGAACTCATTTACAGTATAACTATGTTAACTTCATAAGATGCTGTGTTAAAACACAAACTGTTGAACATTGTTGGATGCAGATTTTGAACTCTCTTGGTCTTCAGAACAATGATCCTCGTCTGTCGGAAATGATATCCTTTTTTAAAAACCACAATTCACCGAAGAGTGATAAATTTAGTTCTACCATTGGAGACGTTTTGCTCAATTTTGATGAATTCAAACAAGCCATCCAGTCGAACATACCACTTATAAAAAAGGCGTTCACCGGAGACATGATCATTCCAAATTTTGAGCAGTTTTGCTCGCACATAGATGAGATATTCAATGAGTGTAAAGAGATTCGGGGTGGAGCAGTCGCAACTTACATTCCTCAACTATCAAAATTCAAACCTGAATTCTGGGCAGTGTCAATCTGCACGATTGATGGCCAGAGATATTCTCTCGGTGACATTAATGTGAGTTCGATTTATTTTACCTGAAGCGCAAAATAATCATTTCAACCATAATAATAAAAATCCATAATATTTTAGTTGCATTTGTTTCAATTTTTTATATAATGTCAGGTTCCCTTCACATTACAATCTTCAGCAAAGCCAATAAGTTATGCTTTAGCTATTGATGAGCACGGATCCGATATGGTACATAAATATGTTGGATACGAACCAAGCGGTGAATCTTTTAATTCCATCAAATTGAGTACAGAGTTGAAACCACACAATCCAATGATTAATCCTGGTGCCATTGTCGTTTGTTCTTTAATAAAAAATAATCTTCCAATGGGGGAAAGGTTTGAATACATGAGAACCAAATTTCAATCATTAGCTGGAGGTGAATACGTCAGTTTCAACAATGCGGTCTTTTTATCTGAAAGAGCCACCGCCAACCGAAATTTAGCTCTTGGTTATTACTTGAAAGAACATAACTGTTTTCCAAAAAATACAAATCTGGAAGAAACGCTTGATTTTTATTTTATGAGTTGTTCAGTTGAAGTGACAGCAACAAGTGGAGCAGTTTTAGCGGCCACACTTGCAAATGGAGGTTATTGTCCCATCACTCAAGAAAACGTTTTGCCTCAAATATCAGTTAGAAACACATTGGCACTAATGCATTCCTGTGGTATGTATGATTATTCTGGAAGGTTTGCTTTCAAAGTCGGCCTCCCAGCTAAATCAGCTGTGTCGGGCTGTATTTTGCTCGTTGTTCCAAACGTCATGGGCTTGTGTTTGTGGTCTCCTCCTCTAGATAACATAGGCAACAGCATGAGGGGCGTACATTTCTGTGACAAACTAATTGACGTTTTTAATTTTCATCACTATGACAGTTTGATACGAACTGGTAAAAAAATCGACCCCAGGTTAAGGCAAATAGAAACTACGAGTTCTCAGTTAATGTCTTTGTTGTTTGCTGCTCATCAAGGAGACTTGAAATCACTTAGAAGATTGGCTCTAATCGGAGCAGACATGAACGTTACTGATTATGATAACAGGAGTGCTCTCCACTTGGCTGCATCTGGAGGCCATTTGGAATGTGTGAAGTTTCTAATCGAAAGATGTCAGGCAAACGCCAATGTGGTCGATAGATGGGAGCACACTCCCCTTGATAATGCCGTAACATTCAAGCATTTAGAAGTTCAGAAATACCTGGAATCGTTTATGACTTCAAAATCAGCCTAGCTAGATTTTGAAATATTTAAGCGACAGCTTGATCCATTTTATGTTAATTGTACAGTTTGTTAATTGAAGCGTTTAAACTCCTCCCCACAATGTTTAACTTTTATTAATTATTTTGTTTCATTTTTGGATAGATAATTTTCGTAAATAATTAATTGTAAATATTAATATTAGTTCATTGTTTTAAAATCCATATTTCTTCATGTTTTACAACTTGTGAACCTTATTATTTCAATTATTATTGTTCCCTCTTCAAAATTCAAGAAGTTTTCGAACAATATACATTTTACAGTGCCGTCTATTTCTGCAGTTCATTGCGAACTCTCTGGGGGTTACGTATTTCATGTTAACGTTGTTATTACTAATCTTTTTATATTTTCGAAGATGATTATTCTTTTTAATGAACAACGAACAGATCTTTTACCGTTTGAAAAGTTTTAATTGTTTATTTATAAGAGTTTACAGATGTGCATCAGTATTTTTATAGTTTTTGGTTCTTTCAACATTTTTAGCAGCATAATACTTCACCATAATAATTTTTTGTTGGACATTTGAATTGGCTGAGTCCGAGTTTTTTTGAATAACTTATTCATGTTATTATTATTAATATTATTGAATGTATTAAATTTATGAATTGGACAGAGCTTAAAGCCAAATTTTATTGTAAATTATATGTTTGAATATATTTGCGAAATATAACCACAAGTCAGTTGTCATTATTTGCCTGTACTTTTTAAAATTAAAAAATGCAATTGCATTAGCATAAAAGTTAATGCATAACATGTCTTATTAAATCATCCATTATATACTTTTTTAATTTAAAGTTAATAAGATTAAACAATAATCGTTGCAATAAATGTTGCTTGGCTCGCGGCCTCCGGTCATATACCTTTCAAACTCCTATTTTCTTATTATTATAAACTTTCCTATTTTCTTTCCCTTTCTTTCATTATTCGAGTTTCAATGATTTTTTTTTACAAAATATTCTTGCTAGGGCCATCTTTTTTGCAAAAGTTATATATAAATAAAAAATTTGAAATTAAACGTAAGCCATTATTATTAAATTCGACCGCAACAGTATTAATAATTAATTTATATTTTTTAATTTCTTTATTTTTCTAAATGGATTTTTGAATTTGTATCATTTAATTTACTTATTAAATTAACGAAATGAAATACTATTAGAAAAATAGAGAAACTGTTTTCATGCTTATTCCACCATTTGGTCCAAACGACCGCATAACTCCATGTCCCAACTTTAAAATTTTTTTGGTACAAGCCAATCATATGTTGGGTTGGCAAAATTGCTTGAAACCATAAATTCCTAACCATGTTTTAAAATGAATTTTTTTCTCAAAAGACAATTAACACAAAACTTTGCACGCAATATTCTGAATCGACTGCATAAGGATATGATGGCTCGTGTTTTCACGCATTATAATGAGGACAATTACAATAGCTTAAGCAAAATTTTGTTTTTTTTCACATCATTTCTGTATTATAATTTCATTTTACGGTTTCTGAGTATTTAAAAAAATGCAGTTGCTAAGAATTGCTAAAAGTTGCAAACAAAATTTTTCTTGATACGCATTCCCGGGTTAAAATGGAAATGATAAAAAATCGTTAGGTCACAAATTGTCCATCAGATGCTGTCCGACCATTTCATGTACACGAGAGGATTGTTTGATTTGTATTGACGGAACAATAACATGAAAAGTCATTCCTGTCGAGGCGACATCAACGATCTGACTACTTCAGATAGATTTTCTAACCTAATGCTTCGAACGACATCGCTGAAACGTTCACACCCGACCTAACTCAATCTCTCAATTTTTACATATCCACATTTCCCATTTCCCAATCTTGTATATGTCCATAAAGTATTATATCGATGTTTCAGCATATTTTGTGTTGTTTGTTCAAGTTAAAATGTAAAAAGTTAAAATGGATAAGTTTGTTCTCGTTGTGTCCATTTGATTTCACTGATTTCACTTGTAATGTCAGACATTGTTGTGTCATACTGCATACCGAATACCTAGTTGTATCTTTGTTTTATTAATTATACCCAAATAAATAGCACGACATTATGACGGCTTATTTTACATCAGGTCTCATAATCAGTGATTTAATTTCAACAGCTCTTATGCAGGTTTGAAAATCAAATAAAAACTAATTACTCTGTACCACAATTTTTTGCACATAGATAATACAATTTTGATGAAATTACCACAAAAAATCTAAATAGTTGAATCACGTTGAACGGAAAAAACTGTTCAAAGAAATGACACTTGAAATGGAAAATTTTTATTTTTGGTAAATGTAATTCACGAGTCAGCGTGTGGAGCAGGTTATGAAAGTTTGCAGATGTGCGAATAATAAATGTAGAAACAATTTTTGCTCAGAATTTTGAATGCCTTTATTAACTTTCGATTGAATTTTTGCCGTTTATTCAAATTGTAAAACCTTTTTAATGATTATTTTATCCAAGGATATATTTTAGATAGTAGATGACAAGTAAATTGTTAGAGAAGCTTTCGAAGGAATGCTTATTAAAATATTTGTTTCAGCTACATCAAATAAATTTTTTATACACAATGTTCACAATTTCGCCAAAAAAATTTTTTTTTGTGAGATGAACATTATCACTGCAAGGTTTGTCCTAAGAAAACTACACTTTGCTTGAGCGAAGAAACATTTCGCAGGAAGGCATTCGTTTTTGCTCAGATGTCCTGCTGCATAAAATTTTATCACAAACCACTAAACTATGTTTTTGGCCGAAACGTTTCCAAGATGCAGGATGTTAACTTTTTCTACTAGAAGAAACGTGTAATTTACGGAGGTAGTATCCACGGAGAAGTACAACTGCAATGAACTGAAATACATCTCAATTATTTTCCGTTGATTATTTGTTTAAAATCATATAAATATTAAGATATCGTATCAAATAAATATTTTGATATAGTATCATCCTATTTTTTAAAAAAACCAGAAAATCTCCAGGCAGTTTTCCCAGAAGATGAAAGCAAAAAAATACGTTTGCAAATCTTCCAAAAAAACATTTTTCATCGTTTAACAGATAAATCAACTTAGGAAAAAATTTTTTCACTTTCAAAGTTGACAAAAGAAGGAACTTAATGCCGTTTTAACAAACGTTGCGCCAAGCGAACTAATGCAAATCAGCACGCAACAGACAACATCCGCAGAGTGAACGTTTGTGTGCGCAACAAAATTTACTCGCCATTATTTCGAATGTACTGCGTACACTTTTATAAATATTATGATCGTATATAACTACTTTGGTTGTACACAAGTTTCAGTAGCCATCGCGTATGTACTTATAAATTATTGTGTAACTAGATTGTATGTATATTGTATGTAACTATGTAAACTGTACATAAGTTTTTAGCATCCTATATAAGTATTTAGATTGGACAAATATTTGAACCACGTGTAATTGAACAGACAGAAATAATACTTCTATTTTCGTTGATCATGTTTTATGTTCCGTCGTACAGTTACATAATAAATGACATTCTAATACAATAAACTTTATTTATCCAGAAAAAAGTAAAAGATATATATTGGGTTAAAAAGAACGAAGTCATAATAGCGATGTTTCTTGATTGGATGTGATGGAGCGCCGAGGTGCAGTGCATTGAATGAGACGCTGCCATTCAGCTACAAACCAAAAAAATTATTGGGGTTTTCTTTGTTGTTCATTCATCTGTGCTACTGCTTCGACTGTGCGTGCATGCGTATGTGAACGAGTACTAACGTCTTTCTTCAGAAGGTACTTGCAATAAAATGCATTTGGTTCAATGTTAATGGTATTAATCGTTTCAACGGAAATCCTAATTTAAATGTAATATTTTTTGATCCATGACCTCAAAAACACATTTTAAGAATTTATGAGTGTAGCAAATTCAAATATGATTTTAATGAATTTTTTATACTTTATATAGGTTGCAGAATTAATAATAAAAAAAATTGAATAAAACTTAAAAAATATAGAAGGCAAGGCATGTTCAAATCAGCAGCCACGCATAAGTAAATGAATGAGAAAGTTGCATGAAATTGTCCATAATAAAATTTAATAATGTATAACAAAATTATAGAAATGCACTCACATCTTTAAAAATAAAAATTATCAGTAAACTAAGTTAATAAACAATATATAGTTTGATTTAAAACAGTTTGTCCTGTAAGTTGAAAATTGTAAACAAATGATTCAAATGTACTTGCACCTTCCAGTTTTATGTGCATAGAACCTGTTGAAGTGGCCCGTGAGGATAGGCACGGGCATGGCGAGAGCCAACACTCCAGAAATGGCACAAGCGGCTCCGATCAGTTTGCTGAAAGGACCAACGGGATATTTATCTCCGTACCCCACCGTCGTCATTGTTATTATGGCCCACCAAAACGCGTCCGGTATGCTGTTGATGTTTGATTTTGGAACACCCATCTCGGCATAATAGATGGCGCTGGAGTACACCAGCATGCAAACCAGCAGTACCATGAGGAAGAGGCAAAGCTCCTCGCTGCTTGCTTTGATGGTCAGAATGAGAACCTGGAGGCCGGTGGAGTGTTTGGTCAGTTTGAACACTCTCACCAGCCTGATGACCCGCAGGAAAGCCAGGGATGCGCTGGATTTGGCTGTGGAACAACTCATGGTGGAGAGAACATTAAAGAGTGTGACATAATATGGAACAACCGCTGTCACATCGATGATGTTCTGGAAACCAAACCAGAACAGCCACTTGTTGGGACAGGAGATGAATCGGACAATAGCCTGAAAAGGAAAAAATTTTAAAATTTAGCTTATTCAAACAGATAAATTTCGTATGAAGATTTTAAAAAGTACTGAGCAAAAGTTAAAAAACCTGTAATAATAAATTTTTTTAAAGGAGATTGTTAATTGATGTTGAGACATCAAACAAATTAAAAAAAGAAAACACAGCTAAAACATTCTGCAAAGAAATTGAATATTTATACGGTAATAAATCTTTAAAAAAATTCCACCGCAAAAAATTTCATCTGAAAAAGTGAAATTTAATTCTCAAACAAAACCCAACTTAGGGCCTAACTAAACAAACATTGAACTATTATAATTTTAAATTTTTTTTGTGTGTTTTGGTATTAAATTTTTCTAACGTGATTAAATTTAATTAATCAACGTTTATGGCAGCAATGAAGACATCGGCACATACCGAAGAATTTTGAATTCGTTTTGTGTTAGGAAACGTCCGTTTTAAATTCAACTGACTTTTGTTACACTGTTTAGTAAGTGAAAACAAACATTCAAAACTGATGAAAATTCTATCTAACAATTGCCTTTATTATTGAAACTGTAGGGTAGAAAAACAAACTGGCTCGAAATTTCCATAAATAATTCCACCAGACTCGCAACTGACAATTTGATGAAAAGCGTGCAAATATTAGCCTGGCCTGTAAATGTCTCCGAGCAAGACAATAGTTATAACCATGTGCACGTAAGATGCTTGGATACAAAAGTTCCAAGTGAATGCTAACAGAAAGAAAGTACAAGGTGCCTGGTCTTGCTGTTCCAGTGACTGCTTGGAATGCAAAGAAATTTCCGCCTATCATACGTAGTGTTTGTAATGCGTGGTTTTAACGCGTATTCATATACGCTGTGTGTTTGTTGTTGAAACCTCTGAAGCAGGTACACAACAGAGATTGACCTTTAACCGTTAAAATGTTGGTTGGTATCATTTTTTTCATATGCAGGGCCTCAAACATAGAAACGTCCAAAATTCATCAGACAGAAGACAAACAAATAGACTCTCGCAACGCCGTGGCTTTGTATGCGACTGTTACTCTTACGTTCCTCGATCAAAGTTTTCGATATATATGAAAATCAATGTATCGAGCGGTCTACCTTGTTAGGAGCTGTTTTCATGGGAGGAATCAGATCAATATCTATGCATTCTCCCATGCAATTTGCACCGCTGATATTTGGAAAACAAAGGAGGCGATGATAGGGAGGGAGGCAGATGATTGATGGTCACTGCATCCGATCCATTTCCAAATTTTATGATTGATTCGTCCCGCATAGATATAACACCTCGCCAAAACATAATTACAGTATATTACATTATAAAGCAAGAAGAGAAATTTGCTTTGCTTTATTATCAATCCCCCCAATTTTAAAAAAATTTCAAAATAAGTGATTTTGTGATAAATATTTTGTTTTTATTTTTATTTCATTTATACTTCTAATATTTTTAAATACGATTTCCAAAAACTTTATAAAACTTGTAGCGTAAAAATTTATAAAAATATTGTATGATATTTACCATGGTTGCAAACAATTCAGTGATGTTAGTTTGAGAGAGACGAACATAGTTTGTGGTGATGTGGAGTCAAAGTTTGGTAAATAGATCGAAAGATACCTCTACCATCTGTTGGTAGCCTGGTGTTGTATCAACTTAGTCTTGTAAATAATAACATGCACTGATATTGTATTAGCAAAGTGTTGTAGTAAATAAATAAATAATAATTCGTACTGATGTAGTTTTTAAATCGTTAGATTAATATAATAGACGCAACCAAAACCAGTAGGCTGTTAAGTATTTCGGAGTTCAGTGGTCATGTACTGAAATTCTCGCAAATTATATTATTAATATTGTATTTTTTATGTTTGCTGTTATTTTTTGTAACACTATTTTCTTTCACAATATGTGAGTGCATAAAAACAAAGTGTTTCGCACTTGTACTGGGTTGATTATTTATTAAGATTGACTGGAAAAAAGTTTTATTCTAATTTTTAAACCCAACATTTTTAATGTTGGATAAATTATGGACAGTTAATTTTACTAAAAAATCAGAGAGAAACATTGTAAAAAATATTACATTTGTATTGTTTTATAAGTTGATACCTGTTTTTCTCACATCTCAACGCATTTGCACTCTTCAGGAATGAAAGAGATGTTACGTAACTTTAATTACAGAATTGGATTTCATAACTTGAAACATTTTCACTCAGTTCATTCAGAGATATATTCGATATCTTCCGTGTGTATGTAATCAGCAAACATTGTTCCACACTTTGCTTTCTCATTTTTGTTAATCAACTGGAGTTTAATACCTTTCATTCATTTATTCATATTGAAATGAATTTGTTTTTAAAGTCCATGATGTAGAGTGAGTTCACGTATATGTTCAATAAACTTATTTTGAATTAAATGTTGATAAAGACAGTTATTATTATGTACTATTATCAAAAACGTTTGCTACCGATATTGAAATAAAAGCAATAAAAATATTCATAATATTATTTATTCTTATTATTACGACTACTCTTATTAATATAATAAACATTAATAATAATAATAATAATAATAATAATAATAATAATAATAGTAAATATTTTTATCATTACAACTAGTTTTATTATTGTTGTTATTATTATTCATATTCTTCCTCTCGCATCATTTTCGTGGGAAGTGGAGAATCCAGATCTCAACAAGAGTTCAGGGAGATTCAGGCGAGGGCCTTTCGGTGAATGTGTGCCGTTCCCATCAGTGCGATCTTTTGAACCTCACAAATTGAAGGGTGTCCGGGGAATGTACCCAGATCATCTTGGTTCTGCTACTCCACATTTCGCTTATCTCGATTTCTAAATCTTTTTTATTTACCTTTTTCAGTCTTTTTGTTTGAAACGTTTGCATCATTAGGCACGGCAATGTCTGTTAAGAAGCATATTTATTCTTTTTAGTCATGAAAGATTATGCCAGGGTGGTTAGCCATAATTGTTATGTACATCCCCTAAGATGGGGGCGTGACCTTACTCATTATTACTTTACTATTATTATTATTTAATAATATAATTAAATTGAAAGATTATTAAAAAACTTGAATGTGGTAGGATATTTTAAATCACGAGCCTGTGGTTTGAGAAAAGACGAACCTCGTACATCCTCTAATTTTGGCAATGATCTGCTCTTCTGCGAGTCAGCACAAACATCTTCATGCGTTTGTTGGCGCCAATATCCAGAAGGTAGGTTTGAATGTTTCAATTTGCATCACTATGTGCATATTTGAAAGTAATTTTTTACACACAAATAAACAAACAGAAGTAGGATTTGTATAATTATTTCGCTAATATAAAGTTTTCTGAATAACAATCATCGACCCGAAGAACTGAATGAACCAACAAACAGGCAGATCAAATGAATTTCTCTGAAGAACATTCAATTTGAAATGTTGATGCCTCAAATGATCTGTTCATTTGGACGGAGATTATGTAGGTCGCTTAAGCAAGATGCAACACTTAAAGTAATTTATATACAGTAAATAACTTGTAAACAGCATGTAACTTAGAATGTATGTTGCGTGTAATGCATATAATGTAGATATCATTTTCATAGTACATATTATATATACATACATATATGCATCCATACATACATACATACATACATACATAAATGCATACATACATACATACATACATACATACATACATACATACATACATACATACATACATACATACATACATACATACATACATACATACATACATACATACATACATACATACATACATACATACACAGATACATCTATAGAATGTATTAATATGCAAGGCTCGTTTGACGCTAAACATAAAACTAAAATCGTGATCGAATTTAAAACCATTCAATTAAAAAAATGGCCATGAAAATGTTTTTGAGACAGTTTTATTGAACAAATTTATTCAAGAACCAACCTTGAAAAACGAAAAATCAACCATTATTTAAAATGCCCATCAATTATTTGCTATCTCATCATCTTTCTATCGTTTATCTGTCGTTCATTCATTCATTCATTCATTCATTCATTCATTCATTCATTCATTCATTCATTCATTCACTTACTTCATTGTAATTAAACTGTTGCCCGTCAAACGTAAAGTCAAATTTTTGGACATTTTATAAAGTAAATTTCAATTTCAAGGAAAAGCCTTTGAAAGGATGTTTCAGATTAATTATTGATAAGTTTCGTCATCATCGAATATTAGGTCAGCTTTCCAAATCCACTTAAATTTTAAGAATAATCAGCATTGAACATTTAATACTATGACGTCATTGAATTATTTTGGCAACGTTTAAAATAGTCATCAAAACCGGGATGAATGTAAAAAAAAACTATAGACCCAAAATTCAAACAAAATTTTCATGTTGTTGTCGTTGATTGTATGATATGAATGACACTGTCGTGTGTGTGTCGTGTGTCTGATGGGGTGTCGTGAGTGACGGAGACTGAGATGAAATTTGTAGTAAAACAAACGTGAGTTCTCCTTAAGCCATGAAGTACCGGCACCTCTCACTCCGAGGTTTCCATGCAAACCTCTCAATAATGTTTCAGAGTGCACGCATGTTCAAAATGGTGAAAGATGAAACTGTGTATGAAGAGTTTAAGAAGTGTTTGTGTGTGTGGTGTGTGAGTGTTTGTGTGTGTGTGGTGTTTGTGTGTGTGCAAAAAACAGTTTTCAAGATCAGTGTAATGAAAATGTTAATTGACATTAAGCGAAGCGACAGTGTTTGTTGATTCTACAAATGTATACGAAGCATAATACAAAAAAAATTTGGCAATGTTGATGAGAATGTCTAATTATTGATGGTGATATCCAAGAGCGCTGATGTGCATGACAATGACTGTAGGAATGATGGTGATGATGAAGATGATGTAGATGTGACAGAATGGAAATAAAATATGGAGAGCATCCATCCAGCTGATATGTTTGATCTACCAGATCAGAAATGTACATACATCGGATCAACATAC